CTGCAGATATAAATAAACATAAATGATAATTATTGTCACGTTTTTTCGAAATCAATTATGTAGACAGAACATTAAACCTTTGAAATTTACATAAAAAATGTCATTGTATTGGTTTGTTACACACACCGTGAAAGTTACATTCGGTCTGTCAAACATTTCCAAAATAACTTTGTCTCTAACCAATACATACAGCTAGCAGGGGATTAGGAATAGCTATCTAGAACGGCGTTTTTTATATATTTCATTTCATGGAACCGTCCAAAACAAGAAATGACTACTTTTTCTTTTTTTTCAAATTTCAATCTATAAACTTTTTTTTGTAGTGGAACAGAGATTGCACGGACGGCAAGTTTAAGATTCCCGACTTGTATATCATAAGAAACAAAAGAGTGTCGTAAAACTAAAGCAAAGCGAAACTGCAGAATCTGAACCCGGGTCACAAGTTTATATTCTCCAAAGAATTGCTTTTGCATTCGAGACTTAATTTTGCAAGTGTACGGGAAAAGACATTAAATTAATATTTATTGTCTTGGCACAGGAGGGTTTTGCGCAACTAAAGGACTTATAAAATTTGCCCCGCACCGCAAAACTCCCTCAACGATCGGGTAGGGTGAGCGATATGTCAAGGGTTCCGTGGTCATACGAAAGTCGGCGAACACATTTAGCGTATAAGGGTTGTTTCTCGCGCTGCGGCGCCTAAACAAAAAACGATAGTAGACAATGGATGTCATAAGCCCGACACGCCCTGTAAATGTTTAAATCACTGTCAATGGCATAATAAATATTTCAAAAAAACGCTTTAGCTGCCTGAAAGTCCACAAGTGATATTAAAAACCTGATACTCCACCATAAATTTTGGCCAGAGGCTTCCAGCAATTTCAAAGAATTTTGCAAAGCGGTGTATAGTACTATAGGTACTATTATTAAAAAATGTTGGCTGCACGTTAAAACGACTATGAATGTAAATATTTTCCACAAGAATTGTGCCATTCGCAAATGTAAAGCGGATACAGCAGCATTAGCTAATGAAACTTTATTGAAGACACTTTGATGATTGGCATTTACAGGACAAACAGTGCAAATAATGTAGCCAATCCACGCCTTGCCCAAATAGCTAAATCGACCTTATGATCTTTGAAATGATCAATCATTGCTAGTGATTGTTGCGTAGTTGGGGGGGGGAGATGGTGGCCCTGACTTGGACCAGTTGAATTGTAGAGGAACGGTCCTTGCATTGTTTTGTTGCCATTAGTATATGACGTTGTATAGATCAGTCCTCAATTGAAAAGAAGTCGTCACTTTCTACTTTCTATTGAAAGTAGTAAACGTTTCTTGGCATCTTAAACGGCGTTTTGAGTGTTGCAAATTCGAAAGTCGCCTAAGTGCACCCACGGATTGTCCAAGAAATCTTCTCAATAACACGATGCTAATAAGCATTACTTACGAAGTGTTTCACAAAAAAATATTATTTCAAACATTCCCTCCTCTTTTTTTCCTAAGAGCAGATATTAACTAGCGATAGGTGTAAAGGTATTCGATTTAAACTAAACTCAATCACGTATAACATCTTTCATGATTTTTACTCAATTTCCAATTTTACGATGAACAATAAAAAAATTCAGTAAAAAGTTTTTTGTTCATTTGTTATTTGCAGCTTTGTTTGTAATAGCGTAAAAGATGAATTGTTCGTGACTATGAAACTGAAACTCTTATTTGAAAATACAATACGTAGGAGTATGCACAGCAATATTCAAAACATTTTTTTGCTTATCACGGTCTTAGAAACAAAAGGGCACAGACAGTGGCGCACAGACAGTCCACTCAGCATTTTATGCTGATATACAAATAAAATGTATTGAGCTTAATAAGAAACACATCGTCATTTTAATTCCAAATGTAAATGTGCTTGAATATGGAGTAACGTCATTACTCTTCAATCTTCTCAATGGATAAAGAATTTTGTTTGATAGCCTTCGAAAAAGCCCTGCCGAACTTTCCTATCAAGATTTCTGTCAATTAAAATGGGGAGTGAAACTGTTTTTGAAAAGTCATTCATAAACTAATGGAGTACAAAGTGCGTTTTTTAATAAACTTATCTAAGTGAACTTGCCTTGAATGACTCAAAAAAGGAAAATAAGTTAAGTAATGAAAATTTTTCTATTATTCACTTGCGTAGCGAGGAAGTTAATAGCAGCTCATTAGCAGTAATTACGAGGCATAAATATTTGTTATTGAACTTAATACTACAAAACACTTGAATATTTTAACATTCAATCGATTCATTTTGGTAAATGAAAATAAACGTTTTAAAGTTTGTTGCCCCCTCACAACCGCTCTTGAAACGAGTAAGAGAAGCTTTATTAAAATTGTATCTAGTGAGGAAGAGGGGGGGGGGGGGGAATCCAAAAATGCTCCCCTATTGAATGTATTCATTCTTTATCGTTATATGAAAACAAACAGTTTATCGAATGAGTCTTTTTATTAATAGAATGTCATTCGAATTATTTGCGCCCTGAAAAAAAAATTCATCTATGTATTATTATTTGTATTCAATTTAAAATATTGCATATTCCAGTTTCTTGTATGCTTTGCTTTTTTCTTTTTTCTTTTTTTTTTTTTGTATAATTATGATAAACAAACAAACAAAAATGCAAAATATTCTCGTAGACAATAACCATTCATAGAGTATACGTTCGACTTTACAAATATAATACAGTGCAAGCAGCACGTAATATTTTATGTGAATGCACGTACATAGATACACTTAACTAAAATGAATGCATATACAAGTGCATTGTGCACACATGCACATGTTATAAAAAGCATCAACAACAACAACAACAACAACAATAGTTATAGACAGACAGACAAATCAAAGTACACACTTGGATGGATACATGCGCAGAACAAAAAAAAAAAATAATAATAATAAATTAACAAAACATGGGTAGTGTTTAGTTACCTATTACAGTAATAATGATAGTGATTGTATTGAAAAAGGTGAGAAGAGTTTTTCTATTAATTTAACAATAATTTTAAATATATACATCATATCAGCTGTTGTTAACACAGATTTGATGGAAGTTATTTAGATTCGCACGCTATAACGCCTTGCCTTTAACTACTCCAGCTATTAACAACAACAAATGAACAACAACTGTTTATAAAATTGCATTTTAGTCTCCGTGTAGGTTATTTCCTTAGCGTTCCCCCCAATATTAGGAATAATTGTCAGCCGTTACCTATAGCAAAATTTTTGAATGCAGAATCGATACAATTCTTAGTCACTTATATATACATTGAAGCATTAACGATATCTCAATAACTCAAGGACTGAGAAATTTCTTACAAAAAATTTTACCGAAATCAGTTAAACTTAAGTTAACCGTTTTGTTAACGAATAGAAAAACGAATACGATCAGACCTAAATAGATGTAAATAAATTACAGACGTAGACTCCGAACGCGAGAAAAAAACTGGTCGCTCTAAGAAACTTCCGGATCAATGCCATTCTCTAATTAAAAGTTCATCAGCAGCATTAGCTTCAATTGCATCTCTTAGACCACATAGCTGGTCTTTGCGGTCATATATGTACAATAAAAAGAATGTTAGCACTTAAAAAATGGGACGTTTATAATTCCTAAGCTTTTCTTTAAATCCTTCTCCAGATCCATTCTCATTAAATTCGACCTTTTTCCATCTACTTGCTTAAAGTTATTTTTTAGCTTACAGCCCTACATTTCGGGGTAAGTTATTTCATGATTTCGTTGATCATCAATGGATTTCAAATCGGCTTATAAAGATCGTCGCCGATAAGGCTACACTTTGTAATGCAAGTGAAATGTAATGCGAAATCATCTAATAATTATGCCTGGAACGAGAAAGCATATAACTTATTAGGATCGATTGATTAGGAAATAACTTCTAGATAACAAACAAACAAAATTACATGCAACTCTGACAGAATCGCCAAGGAAAATCCCTATGTTTTTTTCTCTACGATATGCCGCTTGAAAAAAGATTACATTTCTCCGTCTATTACAGGCTGACCCAATGCGAACCATTCTTTGTTAAGGATCGCCGTTCGAAAACTTCGCCCTTGCGCCAGCTATAAATAAAATTATTAATCGGCAGATTACTGAAAAATTTGATTTTAGATTCGTTCTCGCTATGACATCTTTCCTTAGAGTTTTACGAAGAGAGTATTTAGTATGTCCTGAGGCAGGCCGCCTACACATCTCGATTTGGAATTTTGAAGTTTTGCTTATTTCCGATTGTAGGATTTTTAAGAATAATAAAGCAAATCAATCAAAGAATATCTTAAGTATTCATTTTAAGAGACGACTACCCATAAGGTCGATTGACGAAGTTATGTTAAGCCAAGATAGAGAAAATTGGCATGCTTCAAACGTTTGAATAAGTGATAGCGCCTGTTTATTCGTTTAAGCAAACGACGCATATAAATTCCTAAGTTCGTTTAGCAGGTGGTGTTCATGGTCTCCAAATTACCTTGTCATATACAGTGAAACAATTTATTTTAACTTAATTGTAAAACTAAACTTATACATTTTTTATATACATATATATGGAGTTATTGTAATTTGTTAAACACAAGCAACACTCTAGATAATTTAAAAACTATTTTTGCATATTTGCATTTTTTCTTTACAATTAAAATACAGAAAATACAGCGCGATCAGCATTTTTTTTCCATTAAAAAATTACGTAAATTTTTTGCTCGGCACAAACAATAATAAAGCTTTGCATGCGTACCCACCACTACATCGCAGAGAGTAATAATTTATCATATTACTTGTAACGCATAAGGCGCGTCTCTATCTATAAATTTTATGGAATCCTCAATGCGCATGCCAGCAAAATCGATTCGTTTTTCAAAGAGTTCTAATAAAGAAATATACACAAAAAATCTATTCCAAGATCTTTTCTGCCTATATGTCCATATATCACTAAACGCCACTATAAAAAAAAAAAAAACTTACCTTCAAATCCGTAACTCCTTTACAAAGGAAACCCGTTTTGGGTTAAGTGCATTTTATATAAAAAGTATTAAAAATACTTTACAACTAAAGAAATGTTTATTGTTTGGACAGAAATTAACTGCTTTTTGAAAAGCAAACAATTGCATATTTAATTCACTAACAGCTTCTCAAGGGAAACGGAATTAGCTTTAAACCCCTATATACATGCATGTACTTTTCGTAAAAAACGGAGTGCAATGTTTTATAATCGAAAAGATTTACCGTAATAACCGAAATATCAATTAAATGGCGGGTACTACAATATTCGGCACGAACCGAATTGGAAGTATCTTTTATTAAATTTACTTATTCTTAAAAATACAAACATCGCATAAACTCTACACATTGCACAAACACATTCGCACAGAAGCGCACATACCCACACTGTTACTCGAATGGCTCAAATGACTTTTAAACTTATACTTTATAAATTAATTCATTAACCAAAATATTATGGAAACGCGTAGTATTTGTCGCTGCCAAAAACTACTTTGATCGCTTTTTAGCTCGTTGCACACTTAAAAAGTTTACATTCGTCGCAATCATAATAAACAAAAAAAAAAAAAGAACGGAGTCTCGATTTTCCTTCCTTTTTTCCGCCCAGAAACAACTCCAAGCGAAAATAGCAACTGAATGATATGACTGAGAGGAGGTTTCTTTGGACTCTTATTTGGCATCATTTATTCACATACTGCTGGCATCGTTATTGCAAAACTTTGTTTTACTCTCAGAGATTTTTTTGAATACTTTCGCTTGGCATCATTTATTCACATATGATTGTAAACTGCCTCTTAGTAGCGGTGATCGCTCAAGCCACTTAATGTATTTCTCTCCTTCTCCCTAATTGCACGCTCATATGCACGAAACCAGCGTTGCCATAACTAATAATGCTTTCATATGAAAGACTGTAGCTATTTGCAGCGTTTTTCCAATTCGATATATATAATAATAAATATCTAAAAGCCAAATGAAAGAAGAAAATATTGTGCAACCTTCTTATTTCATTTAATGAGCTTACATTCAGTCTTTTTAAATTTCAAGTAAAATAAGTGGAATATTAAAGCTATTTCTATTACAATTTCTTCAACAAATTAAGCAAGAGAAAAAATGGTTTAAAAAAAAAAGGCGATTACACCTAACTTTTAAGTAAATTTCCAGCTCAAAATAAATTCAACTGTGTAGTACAAAATTGTTAAAAATATTTCTTTTATTTAGTTAGCCATTTCCAAACGATGGTTCCGAGCTGTTATGTGGCCAGTTTTGTAAACCATTCGTTATTTCCAGTTGTTAACTTTTGCTTTAAAATTTCATATGTGTGATAGAATTGTTTGCGATCCACGCAACAGCGAGTGCACACCTTTAAGATAAGAAATAACTGCGTTTGACTGGTCTAACGAAACTAAAGACAACTAATGAAAATAGGAAAGAGAATTAAAAAAAAATGTTGTTGATTTTAAAAAAACTCTTCTCAGCCCCTTGGAATATAATAGCTCTTTAGAGACAGAGTTTCTGTCTTTTAAAAAGAATTGAAATATGATACAATCATAGCATGAATAATAATAATTGAATAAAACAGGGCATAAATGTTCCGTCATTTGACTTTTAATGTAAATGTTATTCTAATTTTTGTACGAAGTATACTTTTATGAAATTAAAAAAATTCAATACAAATTCATTTCCGAAATGATTCATATATTTACCCACGCCTGCTAAAATATGCGTCCACACATTTTCATGAAGTCATCATGGTTAAGTCATCACAACACCAATGCACGTTTTTGACGAAAGATTTAAATGTCTGGTCTTTTTTATAATCAGTTCAAAGTCCGAAACATTTATCAATCTCTTGATGATCATAAAATATGACGTTGCACTTAAATTACCGTGAGAAACATTTTGAGGAGCACGTGTCTAAACAATTAATAGTAATTTATTCCTTTTCGGAAAGCCGTTCAATACATAGCTCGCAATAAGAAAACACATTTGCAATCTACAATTTCAACATAAACCTTATTTATAATCAAGAGACCTAATATCGTTTTTGTGGGTGGTCCTTGAAACTTTGGCCCTTTGTGCGAAGATCGTACAATTTAAATTTTTTCTTATTTTTTAAAGTCATCCTGGAAAAGATTTCTTCATAGGAGACTAGAACTAGAATACAGCCGACACTATTTACATTTGATCAACGCCAAAGTAATATGTACAATTTTCTTCTTTCCTTTCGGTTTTGGTTGACAAAATGAAATAGAAGAGCGAGTTTACAGGTGGGTTTATTCTGGTTCTAATAGCTAGCCCATTTGCTTCATTGGTACGAAAATACGAAAACTTATATATCTCTTGTGCTCCTCGTGAGCTGAGGTATTCTACATCAGTGAATACGAATTTTGTTAATAGTATCATTATAAAAATTCCCAGATTCTATTTCTAAAACTGTCTGGTGCTATCTCGTAGTACACAAATATTCGATTCAAACGTAAATATACTTTCTCCTCTATCCTCAAACACACATAACCTACACGCCAAACTTTACTTATGCATAAGCCAGGTTAGCAATTGATTGCCGACATTTTAAAACAATACATTAGGTTTTCCCCTTGGTATGAATAATAATCCAAACCAAAATGAAAAACTAACTTTCGAAGAAATATTTAACAATTCAAATAATAAGTATTAATTAAATGGTTTTTCCGTATATATAGGGTCTTTAAGTAGAAATTCTGATTACATTTTTTTCAGACAATAGACCTATTGTCTTAACAACTCCGCAGTAAGCGGCGTCATTTTGCTGGGAAAAATGTTCATATCCATAGTCTTAAATTTAAAGCCAAAAAAGTCAATCACCAGCATCCGGTAACGATTCGATAATCGACTTGTCCTAAGGATCAAATCATAGGCTTTTTCGGTTGCAACAAAATTGCAACATACTTCCTATGATTAGAGAGGTCTTTCGACTATTTTTCGTGAAAAATCGTCATCTCGTTTGTACGTTTCCGAAACGAATGTGCGGGTGAGAGTCAGTGCCCTATCTGAAAACCATATAGTTATATTTGTTGAAAGATCCATATCCTACTGTACACTAATACTTGCAAACAAATTCACATATCTCAGCCTTAATTAACCTACTAAGAAAACAGTAATTTGCTTATTAAACATTTTTATTGCAAAAGTATTATCGACGTTTTCGGAAAATAGGAGAAACACTAATGTACACATAATGAAAAATAAATATATATTCGGCTATTAAACATAGGTGGTTTTGTGATAGAATTAGTGCAATGAGCTAGACGTTTATGCCAATGGTTATGTACGGCCGGTTTTTAAACGGTACGCCGGTTCGTATCTCGCCCCGGAGAGGAGAATAAAAAAATACATTTGTGTGTGTTTTTGTTTGAATCAATATTTAAAGCAATATGCATGTGCGTGCTTTTTATCGAAGTGATGTGTTGCTATGTGTGGTACGATTTGCAATGGCATAATGATCCTACTTACTGTTTGTGATATGGTCGGAACATTTCCAAGCGAAGTCGTAGATTAAGAAAGAATTTTTCTTTCCTGTGATTGCTCTTAAGTTGCTAATATTTACTAAATAAATAATAGTGTTGCTGAGCAATTATTGGACATTTTTCTTTTCATCCCTATGACATGACATGGGTGCGAATGACTGAAAGAATCGATTCGTTTTTAACGACAATGAACAACTCTACATAACACCCGCACACGAACCGCTTTCTTCATCTGCCAATTACATGCAGACATGCAAGTGAGTTTTCAATTTCTTTTTCTTTTCGTCAAGTTCGGGACACAGATAAAACGATTAATGAGTTCTTCCAAAAGAAGGAAAATCTGAAAGGTGATAATACTGTTTCGCTTGTGTTAAGTAGATGATCGACATATTATAAGGTATTATAAGTATTGTAAAGTCTTCAAGCGATGTAAGAGGCGATCTGATACGTTTTTATTTATTGAAAAACTATGCCATTTTTATCTATGCTCGTGGCATGGCTAGTGAGAGTCTTTCAAGTGAGATGGCTTTTGCAATGTAAAGAGTCTGCATATTTATTATATTTTAATGCTTTCTCTTCATTACATTTTATTATAAATATATTCCAAATTCTTATCCGTTCGCCTTTTTGGTTTCTTTCTAATTTTAGCTACGACAAATTTCGTTGGGAAATTTACACAAAGTGTAAGACGTATCGTGCAAGATGTTAAGGATGAGGGAGCTCCAAGTAAAATGCATGCTTTCATTTAATGTGTACTCTTTTCCAACTATTCTCCCTTTTTTTTGTAATCTTTTCTCTTTTTTTACTTATTTTATACATAATCAGGTGGTATGAGTCGCGAAGAAGTCATTGAGACAAATGAGAGACTGAGGAATTTGCGCATACGTTTAGAGGAGTCCTATGACACTGCTAAAAAAGCTTTAATTACTCTAATGAATAAATATGGCGATTCAAAGAGTCAACGTAATGTGTTTCAACGTTATCCTATGCTGAAGCTTATGATAAAGGTGAATAATTTTTTAATGAATTTTTTTTGATTTGTTTCATTCCTACTTATCGTCATTGTCTTTTAATCTTTCTTGTGTTAAGGATGTCATACGTCTGGAAACCCAATATTGGACTCTAATAGACATTCCACGGCAAGAGAAACAGGAAACTGTACCTTCTTACGTTATGCGAGCCTGCGCCATTATGGAGAAGACACAAAAGTCGGGTGAAGGTGTTAAAACGTCGGCTAAATTAGCCGAAGAAGCTGCCGAGAAACGTGAACGTTTAGAAAGATTAGATAGTAAGTTTTTTTAGTTTTTATTAAAATAAAGGATTTGTTCTTGTTTATGTTAATATTTAACAGACACACGTCTGACAGTAAGTAAGTTATTAGAGACCTGCACTTTAACGAAAGACAATTATTAACGTATACATCATTAAGAGAAGGCAGCAGCAATAAAAATCCGTCCATATCAATGAATTGTGTTCAGCTTAGTGATTTAATTACAGAACGTACGCCAAATCCAGCCTACAAGTTAGAAATCAAAGCAATCAATAATTATAGGACGAGCGTTACTCTTGTATGTCTCTCCATTTCCGTTAGCGCATTAAAGTCCCTTAGGACAACGTAATAACTAAATGCTTCAAATCAAAGCGTGAAATTCGTAATCACTAGCAAACTTTCTTGTTTTGCCAGTTCGTCTATTACCTGCGGCTTTTATATCTCTACAAATTACGAATAAGTATTACTTGCCCATAAATTGGAAGAAAATCAGCACGCTATGCACTAAGCGGACCTGGACTGAAAATCCTTCTCATAGGTGTGCAAAAGCCGCAAGGTATTGAGATAGTTCCATATTTTTATTACATCGACCCTTCCAAAATAACTTACTGAATCGATCTAAGTTTATCTGTCCGTCTGTCTGCCGGTCTTGTTTTCTTGTCTTTAACCCAAAGGTCGCACTTTTTAATATATTTTCACGAAATTTGGTACGTTGACGTTTGTTTCACCCAAGGACGAACGCGAGCTATTGGTTCCCATCGGACCACTTTTACCACCACGAACAATCATTATATGAATAACTGTAAGGAGGTGTAGAATATTAAATGCAGAACCGTGACCCACTATAGTATTTTCATTCGGTTTCAAGTTAAATATCTGAAATCTTAATATAGAAATACGATCAATAAGCTTCGTGAATGCAGTTATGTATGATTTTTATTATATATCTTTATCGTAGTTAATAATTGCTTCTTATCGCTTTTATGCTTTCTTTCCAGCTATGACTACAGCCCAAATTGAACATGAAAACACTCAATTGATTAACGATTTGTATCGATTGTTGAAAAAATATTTGGGTCTAAGGCATTTGATAAGAGTTCTGAAGGTATGAAATTATATATATATATACCTACTAATAAATACTTTTGTTTTTCATTTCGTATGTTTTTAATAACTAATTTAATTGAAATGAATGCATTTGGATACAGGAGGAGTATGGCAGCTCAAAGTTATATCCCATTTTTCCACGTTACACTATGCTTAAGGATATGATTAAAGGCATTATGCACGATCCCGATTATATGGAAGTATGTCATGAAATCAACAACTGAATTCACTTAAACGGTACGTGTCGCCAACTAACATGAGAACAAATACATGTAAAATATATTTAGTAAAAATAACAGAAACACGCACACAAAGACAAAGACAGTTAGTACCTATAACTAACTAAAGGAGATAAAAGAAAGAAACGAAAAAAAAAAAAAAAACAAGAAATTAAGAAAAATATATACATAAGCATCGGAAAAATTTTGCAACTTCCTAAAGTTTAGCAAGGATTTCATTTTGATGTTCTTCCTTAACACGATGTGCACACGGAACACAACTTAATATAAAACATTATTGCGCTTAGCTAGATAAAAATTCTTTAGCAAATTGTTCAAAACTAAATATAAAGAAATTTTTTTTTTTTTTTTTTTTTTATAAAAGCTATATATATATATTTTCAAGCAGCTATAAACTAATAGAAATACCAGGAATATATTATATAGTGAAAATTAAGCCCACCATTTAATCGTATAATAATAATAATAATAATAATAATAATAATAATAATAACATAATAATGAGAAGAGAAATTTAAAGTCCGTAAATACGAAAAAAAGAATTTAACTCAATATCGACCTATAAATTATATTAAAGAATTTGAAAATTAAGTGCATAAATACTTGTGTTTGCAGAAGCGTGCGTGCTTGCGTATACTCTGGTAACATGCACATGCATGTTATAAAGAAAGATTGATGGATATATAGGAAAACTAGTGTAAGTGTGTAGTGAAACCTGACACATAAATAACTAAAAAAGAAATCATAAATTGTTAGTAAAGCAATATTTCAATTGGTATACAATGATGGATCTATGGACTATGAGTTTTGAAGAGTTTCGGAAAACAACAGCGTTTTTACTTTGGTTTCGACTCTCTTCCAGCAAAGTGAAGAACTAACTCGCAATAAAACAAACATACGCATGAACTGTTCATGAAAAACATTTAGACTTGGAATTATTAAATTCTTTAAACGATAGAGGATAGGCAGAAAATCATAACTATCACCGAAGGACGTGGAATGCGTTTATTTTATCAAAATATTTGCAACGCCCAGAAGGAAGCTTTAGATATCACACAAACTATATATATCCTTGACCAATATCAAATTCTGTTTGTCCGTCCATCCATCTAAGCAATGTCTGTTGTAATCATCCTCCTTTGCGAAAAAATGAAGCTACGCACCTGACATTTGGCAGAAACATTGGAAGTTCTCACATGCTGCTTAGTATTGAAAATGAACCAAACTAGTCGAAGGATGCGCCTACAATACCACGTAAACTGAGAACACCTTTGTTTTTCAAAAGGAATAAATAATAAATAGGTTTTTTGCTCATCTACCCATAAACTACAGCAGACAAAGCTAAACAAATTTGAACGTATATTCTATGGGGGTTGTTGTGATACCTGGGCAAAAATTAGACACATACCCTACATTATAATATACCAAATTTAATTTTTTTTTCAATACCTTTACAACCTTCAACAACCCCAAAAAGTATGCAAAATCTTGGGCAATTTCAAGTTCGGGATTCATCAAAGCGTGTCCGTCTGCTCAACTGTTTTATGTATGTGGTAAGCATTCTCCCATCCGCCAAAGAGAAGATATCGCTGCCAAATTTGCCAAAGAATTTGAAAATGGTCCAAACCGATCAAGGGACAGACCTATAACGCCCACACGCCTATGTAGTAAAGGCTGCGAACATCTTGCCATTTTTTTTGCTTGTCACTTATTTCACTCTGAATATATGAAAAATTAACCGAGCCCACCTATTATTATTATGGAGTACGAAAATTGTGTTGTTTTCCTTTTTTTTTTTTAGTCTTTTTAGGATAACGATGATAGATATAAGAAAATACGGTCCCGACCAAAAGTAATTTTGTTACATGTAGTCGCTTATTTGAGACATATCTCCGAAAACAATCAAACCGTTATTGTGTGTATGTAGAGGCACAAGTTGATTACTTTTGTTTTGTTAAAATTGAACCGATCCTTACCGAAAGCCTTGTTCTTTGTTGCTAAAAACCCTGAAGCCTTCTAGTCATTTCCTCTTTGCTCCATCGATTGAAGTCAAAGATGGTTAAAGAGTTCCCACTACTTATTAAGAGATTAGTTAGTTCTATTATCAATGAAACTGATGTCCCTAGTTAATAGCCCTAGAAAATAAGCGTGACGAACAGTAAAAGTCTTGCTAAGTATATTTTTGATTATGTGCGTGCACCGTTCAAGTCATTTTAACAAACTTGACAAGTTCTCAAGTCTTCGTCAGCAAGGAAAGCGTAAAATGTAAGCTATATTCGCAAAGCATTAAACGCTTTTAATATACTTTTGCAAAAAGAAAGATTTCTTTTGAAAGCTTAATGCATACCTCCTACCAATATTTGTGGAGCTAAAACACGTATGCATTCTAGCCGTTATCCGTAAGGAGAGCTTCCTAATCCGAAATTTATTTTCTCAAATTTGATTATTGCGGTAAAGATTTAATTTTCGGGAAGAGATACATTGCAAATATACCACTTAGTGATGGGAGACAGACGCGCGCCTATTTTGCAAATCTAAAGTGCAATCCATTGATAAAACACCCATCATATGACCAGCCACTTAATCACAAATCCTGTAATGTTTTTACAAAAGGGTTTTTGTTATTGTTTTAAATATGCAAATTTAATAGCTACTAAACGGTAAATTTAATAACAAATTATTCAAAAAAAAAAAGAAAGAAGATATACATATACATATATAAACATTGCCAATATTCGATGAGCGCAGCACGTACGTATGTACGCATGACATGCGTTTGACTGAAGGATATTTATTGAAACGTTTATTAAAGTTGAATATAAATAATTTAAAATATGCGAGAAGCGCATTAAACTCCCCCCACATGGAGTGAAGTATTTACAGCTTTACAATCTTTTACTTTAAGGTAACTTATTCCTGCTATACATATAAGTTAACTTTTCCTTTGTTTAGCAACAGATTATAATTACGGTACAAATTTAACGCAAATATTTATTTGACTCATATTTAAATAATTTTTTAAATTCTAAATGTTCTGCTTACCGACAAGCGTTGTGTGCTTAAACGAACATTTAATTAATTAAATGATTAGATTCATTTGAATAAAACATGTTGCCCTGGAGCGAGTGTTTCTCTTCTTATGTTTTTTATGTTTTAACTCAATGGTTCTTCACTTTTACTAGGATTTTTACAACAAGTGCTTGCGAGCACAAAATTCGAAATCGTCGAACCGACAGTTATTTCAAACGATTCATTATGAGATATAAATTTGAAATTGCTTTTTCTCTTCACTTCATTTACAGGCAAATATTGGCAGAATTTATTTAAGGAAATTAAAAAGTGATTTTTATTCATCATAAAAAAGTGATAAACTCAAACAGATCGATCATTCATTACAGGGGCTTATGGAGGGTTTTCAAACTTTTCTTTGAAGGTATCTCGAACTTTCTTTATTCCTTATGCGAATTAGTAAGACATCCCTTTTCTTGCTTTGATGGTTCAAATTGCTTACTTGTCTTCTGGTAAACGCGTTTGTTGTAGTACAGTTTGCTGCACCACAAAGCTAGCGAGCTTTTGTAAGATATCTTGAAACCCGTCATACACTTCTTTTTAGATTAAGAATCGTATATAGTATTTTCAATAAATTGGCCGTAGATCGAAAAGATTGATTTAAGCAACGCGTGTTTGTCTTAACATTAAGGGAGCAAAGCAGATACTCTCTACCTATGTGCGCATGGTTTCCCTCAATAGCGTCAAATTACGTACACGTATTTTGAAACGGAGCTCAACAAATTGAAATTGAAATAAAACAAAAAAAAAAAAAGAAAAGTAATCAATAAAAATACGCTTAAAATTAAAATTTATATAAAACATATAATAGTATAAACAATACTGAAACATTTTGATATATTAGACAAATCTAAAAAGTATTAAGCCTTTATTACACCGAATTCATGCGTTTCAACGTACGGACGTAAGTTATGCTCGTGTATTGCGGTATTGAGTAGCATTTCCAACTTTATACGCATTATTAAGCTTAATACTTTTTAGACCACTAATTATTATATAGTAAATTGGTGTTTTTTTCTTAATCTTTCTATACAAACAAACGATAATCTTTATAATATGATAAAAACGACATAAAAATGCTAAAATAAATACAAAAAATATATATAACAATTTTACCTAATTAATAAAGTAATGCTGAACAAGATTTATAGAAATTAATAGTACGAGCTACACAAGTATTGTCGCTGTGTATAAATATACACATATATATATATATACATATATGATATATATATATATATATATTGCCGCTACACATATATATACTTATACATATATATATATGTATAAATATATATACATATATACATATATATAAGTATATAAATATATAAGTAATAAACAAATATATACATATATATAAAAAAAATAAAAAAAATCTACCCATATATCATATATTAGATATTAATCTATTTGTATCGATTGCTTTTATGTCCACCCACCGACACTACATCAAAAAACTTACACTATAATAATGATTAACAATATAAATAAACAAATAAATAAAAAATTGAAATTGTATTAATTCGAGCAGAACTACACTACTACAAGAGAATATAAATCAACATATTTCAGGAATTAAAGTTAAACTCCAATAAAAAATAATATTATATATATATATATATATACATATATATATATATATATGTATTTATATATATATATAAATATATTTATATATATGTACACATATGTAACAAATATGAATATATTGCCAGAATGTTCTTATATACGGTATACATGACAAAAAAAAAGAAGAAAATAGACATTATTTTACGTACGTAACACACAGAAAAAATTAAAAACTAAAAATATATATTCAATTGGTTATATATACGACCACTTACGTGCAAACATAAAAATAAATTAATAAAATTTACATTTTTCACCTCTTTCACTATCCCCCACCCTCACCCTCTCTATCTCTCTATCTTTCACTCTAAATGTCTATGAAATGTATGTATGTATTGTGTATTATTATAACTGACAACAAAATAAAAAAGAAATATTAAATGCAAAAATCAATCACCGAGACCGACTTTTTTGTTTTCATCGATATTTTACGAGCGTAAGTATCTGATGTAAAAAAAAAAAACACGTAAGAAAATTATACTCCGTCGTGAGCGAGTTTTTTATACTCATTACCCTAAAAGGGACTGCTTTCTTGTAGTTTCAAAATAAAAGTGAATGTACAGAGAAGCAAACGTGCCCACAGCTTCTGTTGCATAGCCCTGTGGGCGTCCTCGGGGAATTCTTT